CTGGGGAATTCTGGGAGTTGAAGTCCACCCATCTTCAAGTTGCCAAGTTTGAAAAACACTGGATTAGACCAAACGTGCTTCTCATGCAGCTTTTTTGTCTTGTCTAGTTAAAATGTTTCCAAGAAATGTAAAAACAGGTCAGGGAAAGAATACCTCTGCTCTCACTTCCCAAATTTGGAATTTGAAGATGGACTGCCTCTAAACATGGGGGATCCATTTAGGCAACCCAACTAAGTTTTAAATAGGCACATCCTCATGAATTTGACAAATTTCTGTTTTGGTGTGTCAAAATACAAGCGGCTTGCTCTGTTTTTAGTTTTGCAAAGGAACCAGCCATGCCAGAAATATTGAGTAAATGGCACATGAAGAGATCGTGCCCCGCCACCTTCACTGCACTACCCACGGCTGTTGCTTTCTCAGAGAAAAGACATTAAGTTTAAACCTGACTGGAAACCCCTTATAGACTTTTTGCGTGAAACAGAAAAAAACGAACTTTTGATATATGTTTTTGATGATTAGAAAAAACAATAGATCATGGACTATTTGCAAAATGCAGGTGGGGCGAAGCTTACATGGGGATTTGAAGATTAGATTATAAATGTAATGGGATTGGACTATTTGCAAAATGCAGGTGGGGCGAAGCTTACATGGGGATTTGAAGATTAGATTATAAATGTAATGGGATTGGACTATTTGCAAAATGCAGGTGGGGCGAAGCTTACATGGGGATTTGAAGATTAGATTATAAATGTAATGGGATTGGACTATTTGCAAAATGCAGGTGGGGCGAAGCTTACATGGGGATTTGAAGATTAGATTATAAATGTAATGGGATATGTTTTGACAAAGAATTATTCCTACTTAATGCATTAAAAACTAGCACCTATGACATTCTTATTATTCTTAAGACCAGAGAAAGATTGGAAGCTATCTATTTTTCATGTCTTTCTTCTTTTCTTTTACTTTATCTCACGTTTTCTTTTCCTTTTCTTTATAATTTGTATTTTTCATTTTCTTTTTCGTTTCTAACTTTTAACTTTGTAATTTTAAAATTTCAATAAAATATTATTAAAAAAAAAGAAAGAAAAAACAATAGATTATAGAAAAAATGAAAGTCACGCTGTACGGGTCGAGCAGGGTTTCTCAACCTTGGCAACTTTAAGATGATGGCTGGGAATTCTGGGAGTTGAAGTCCACACATCTTAAAGTTGCCAAGGTTGAGAAACTCTGCCATAGAGTAAAAGTAATTTACTTATAACTGCTGTAAAAGAAAATCGAAAGTTACTTCTTTATACTTTCTTTCTTTCCTTTTTATTCCCTGCATGTTTCGCTTTGTCCTTTCTTTTCTTCTTTCCTTTCTTTATTCTAAATATTAGTTTCTGTTAGTTTTTATCTTTCTTGTTTAAAATCTTAATACAGTTATTTTTTAATAAACAAAATATTGTACTCCTAAGAAAAGATAAAAACAGGAAACAGACAAGAGGCCACTGAGTATATTTAAAATCAGGTACCCTTGGTGTAGGCAACCGAGTTCTCTCCAGATTAGGCAAAGCATTGTGGGAATTTTCATCCATACATCTGGAGGCATCAGATTGTGTATTGATACAACCATTTCCTCTCCTCCACTTTTCCATGAAGTCATGACGAAAAGAGAGACGCTTCAGCTCCCGTTTCTAATTAAACCCAGTTTAAGCTTGTCACCTGCTCCCTAACACTGACTTCCATTAACCCCAATGTGCTGAAACAAGCCACATCCAAACCCCAGAGCTGCAAACTGGATTGTTTCAGTGAATTCTAGTTCATTTTAACCAAGGTTAACCTGGAACTAACAGACCCTGTAAGCAAACGCTGCTTCTGTTCTTCCCAGTGGAATTTGGCTGCTTAGAGTCACTTTGATTGGATTAGCACAGACGTTACAGCAAGTAACTAAACAGATGCGAATCAAAATCAGGTTGGAAGGAGATGAGAAGGTGAAATTAGAACAGAAGCCAGAATGTAACCTTGCCGAATGCCCAAGACTGCACCAGAAGACAAAGAGGAGATATGTGACCTGCAAGATTAGAGAGGCTTAAATTATGGTTTAGGCAAAGAAAATTGATCTGGGCCAAAAGGAGGAGGTCACTCAGAAACAATTATGGTGGTGGTGATGAAGAGGAGGAGAGATCTAACTGAAATGTGAGAAGCCAAAGGTCCTGCAGACCAGGGTTCCTCAACCTTGGCAATTTTAAGGCCGGGGGGGGAGCCCTTTGAACTCTCCCTCCACCACCATGCATACCCCCACAGTGCGGGTCGGGGGGGCGGGGCGGGGTTGAGAGAGCGAGGTGGCT